TCGCTGCATCATGTGTTCTGACCTTGAATGTAACAGTACTGTTCTGACGCTCGTCGGAAAACGGCGGTTGAACAGAGAGCCAACATCAAATTTTGTTTGAAGTTAAGCAAAACAGCCGGAGAAGCGTGCGAAGTGATGAAAAGTTTGTACGGTAGTGATTGTTTAAGTCGCTCGAACATTTTTCGATGGTATGCTCTATTTCGTGACGGCAGGGACGACATTAAAGACGCTCCACGTGCATCAAAGCCGAGAACAAGTCGCACTGAAGAAAATGTGAAAAAAGTTACCGAAATCCTTATATCATACAGATGTGTCTCTGCAAGACTCATCGAGGAGCTTTTGGGAATACCAAAAAGTACTGTGCATCTAATTTTGACCCAGGATTTGGGCAAACGGAAGGTCTGTGCGCGGTTTGTACCGCACGCGCTGTCAGGCGATGAAAAACATGCCAGAGTGGAACACTGCAAAGACATGTTACGTTCGGCCCAAAGTGATACAAAATTTACAAAATCGATTGATACTGGTTACGAGACATGGTGTTTTAAATATGAGTCTCTCACAAAGCGGCAGCCTGCAGCGTGGTTGAGCCCAAACAAGCCGAAACCAAAGAAAGTGAGCATGCAAAAGAGTCGAGTAAAGACACTGCTAACCGTTTTCTTCGATTCCAAAGGAATCATTCACAAGGAATTTCTGCCAGAAGGTCAAACAATGAATTCTGATTATTATCTCAGAGTCCGCAATCGTTTGTGGGCGAGAATTCTTCGAATTCGACCTGAATATCGAGAGCAAGTTTCCTGGTCGCTCCTCCACGACAATGCACCACCCCACAAATCGAAGATCGTGCGCGATTTTTTGACCGGAAAAGGGATCATAGTCCCTGATCACCCTCCGTATTCGCCAGATTTGGCTCCAGCAGATTTCTGGTTGTTCCCAAAAGTTAAGTTGCCGATGAAAGGAGACCACCACGACACCTTCCAGGGCATCCAAAGGGAATCTACTGCAGTTTTAAATGTGATTCCACAAAAGGAGCACAGTAACTGTTTTTGAAAAATTTTCAATCGATTCCAGCTATGTATTGATTCAGATTTTGAATAAAAAGAGTGAAATTTTGAAAATAATTCACGTCTTCTATTTTTAATGAACACAGTCCTAACAGAACCTGGACACACTGTGTACATTGAAACCCAAAAGTTCATTACCGTGTTCACAAGAGCACTATACTGGTCCTTATCCTGAGCCAGATCAATCCAATCTATACTCTATCCTCTCCTTTATCTCTAAGATCCATTTTAACATTATCCATCCACCTAAGTTTTAGGCTTTCTAGCGGTCTCCTCGCTGTTCTGCGCAATCTGAGGACGCGCCATGCCGTGTTGAAAAGTTACCCATTTAACATGGCGCAAACTTTTAGGCCTTTGTTAATTAGATTTGCAATTCCAATACAAAGCATATTTTCACATTAGTATTCATAACCCTTCCTGGTAATACAGACGTAACGTGTAACCGTCCAATAGGATATTGTACGAATCACATCACAGAAGTAACAAAACTAAGATGTTTATTTTTCAATGCATTGGAATAGGAAAAAATAAATCAGTATTTATGAGATATACATCACTTTTGAGAATAACCACGGAGTCAGATATAATAGCAACATTTTATGGTTCGTGGCATGCACATACACACAATGAAGTGATTGTACCACTCCCCCCATGCTCCCCTCTCTACCACTAAATGTACGCTACCATATATTCATCCTGTTGTTCTCTTTCAAAACAAGTGCATTTTTTAATACACAAAAACATTCTTTTCAATTGTAGTTATAATTTCATTGGAAGTTACACAGCTCATGATTTATTGTGTTACATATGAAAATTCGAACAATTGCTCTTATGTAACCAGGCCTGTAATTTGTTTCTATCATTCAGAATAGACACTCAGCGCCCAGACACGTGCGGTAGCTCTGAGTGCGATAGTACGAGGCCGAGATTTATTTTTCTATCGCGTAGGAACAATCATAATATAAAGGTAAACCCCAATAAAGCAAATTCATTGGCTCGGATCTGAGACAGTAAAATGTGGTCATGAGTCCAGCGGAACTCGCACCTGAGAATGACTGCGTTGGCGAGGGCCAGCAGTAATTGTAAACAACAAGCATTCTGTACACATCTTAGAGATGTTGTATTGTTCCGTCAGATTTACAGGTATTTCCTAAGCCATAATAGGGTAAAACATTCTATTGTGAAGTCACGGCCTGTTTTCAAATTACATTTTCTAATCAGTATCCAAGATTCGGTTGGAATGGGTACACTTAAATTATGTGGCGTAGGAACTTAAATCATTACTATTTTACTCAAGAGCAAAAACGATAGTATTCCACAATTTCGTGAAATAAATTACATTTATCGTTTATAAATTCTTCCAAAATATAACATAGGCCTGTATATGGATTCTTTTTACGATGTGGGCGAAATATATTGTTTGAAAGCACTGGTCTATTTTCTTTTAATGTACTAGGCCAATAATCTGAATTTTTAAAAAGGCAGGCCTAAGTTTAAACTTTATCATGGAAGGGTGTTAAGGGTAAAGTAAAAAAGTAAAAGTAAAGGTATCCCTGCAATAGGCCTCAGAGGCCCATATCGTTGTGAGAGGTTGAGGTTCCCACATTTTCTAGAAGATTGGCTTATAGATGGAGCCAAGGTTGTCAGCCCTACGCACCGACCGCCCTTTACCCCCAAGAATATTCCTGGTACTCATTTCTGTTAGAGGCTGAGTCGACTCCGGGGCCATAATTCGGCTGGAAGGATTAGGTCAACTGAAAAAAAATCCAATATCTCATCGGGACTTGAACCCGCGACCTTCCGGCTTGCAGCACAGTGCCTCAACCGGGTAGATATCTTTAAGTAAAAGTCGGCATCTTAAGTGGTTAATGATGTACACATTTACGTAAACCTAAAGTAGGGCGCTGTATCTCTGCAATGCTCAGAATCAACCTTCGAGAACGGACCCTCTGACTCTTAACGTCTCTTATTCTACCGAATCTTATCCCATCAAAGCTTCTGTGTGTACTGTGTGTGTTCTCCCATACTTAACTGACAAATTAATTGGACTTTAATCTGTCGGGAATAAATTAATCGGCTCATTTCCCTCGTTTCCAAGCGACCGCACGCTGTCTTAGCAGCAACACCCCGGCCAGCTTCAATATAACGCTTCATTAGTTGCCCAATGAACACAATTCACTCAACCGCAGCTGCACTCTCTGCTGTTTGTTATGGAAATTACATTTGTCGATGTTCATTTGTTCCCCCACAAGAGTGGCATTATACATCCACTGTTCAGACTCACAAGGCAGGCCTATAATATATAGCCTATCATTAGACAAGTTCCCACAAAAATCACACTGTTAAGTGACAAAGATACATCATTTACGTGCTTCTTTCTGGTAATAAATCGTAGCTGTATGTCCAGTTCTGTTGCTGTGTTCATAAACGCAGGGTGATTCTGGAAGCAGGCTCCAAACTAATATTCTGACGGTTGAAGAGTGACCACTGAGCCAGGCAAAAAGATGTTGCAAGCACAGCCCCCGAAAGAAAAGTAACGGAGATGCACGGTTAAGCTATTCGGGATGAAGAGCCGTAAGGAGGGAGAAATGTGGTGTATTTACGCCATGCAAGAGCTGTCGAGCCGCGGAGGTCTGCTTACTGAGCCTTTGCCTATAGGCGGGTTGCGTAAACTCGTGTATCGCTTGTGTTTACCGGTCTGTTACCTAGTAACGCTCCGGCCATTCACTCTACAATATGTAACTTACGCAATAATTTACCAATGAAAACGGCGCTTGGTGAGTACATGCCTTGGTAGATGGGGAGATAGTATGAATACGGAAGATATTCAAATTAGTATCCCTCCGCCGTGACCGCGTGTCCTGTATAAAACATAAATAGAACCGAACGTTTTATTTTAACATCCGCTTGTTTAAAAATCACAAAACTTTAATTTGTATCTATAGTTATTAAATTAAATAATAATAACTAAATAAAATAATTATAATAAAATTTGTTCTTACTGATAGGGCACTGAATATTTTAATTGGCCCGGGTCACCCAAAAATTTTAATTCCAACCCTGTCGACGTTCCATATTCTGCAATATTGCATCCTGTATGGCAGGTGGGGGTGAGGGGGTAACTGTAGCAATTACAAGACTGTCGGGAACCGGGAAGACAGACACCGGGTCAGTGTTACCAACGGTACAGTGTTGTTAAGATTAATTTTCTTTGGTAAGTTATTGAGTGACGTAAATGTTAACTTGGAGACCCCCCCCCCCAGTGAATCGTGCTGTACAGTTGATGCGCAAATTAATGCTAAAACAACAGATGAATGGATAAGAAATGACAGTGACTTACAGAGTAGGCCTTAGCACGTGACAGAACTTGACACGACGAAATCAGCTGCCCAACCGTAGCAGAGAATATGGACGCAATTTGGTTTATGTTGGATTTGTCGCGCTCACAGTGGTGATCATCATCACCTTCTCTGATAAACGCCGTGTAGTCCGTCTAAATTCAACCTACTTCCACGCTGGTATCTTGCTTTGGCTGATTCGACCCTGAAAAGGGAGCCGATATATTTCTCCGAAATGTAAGTTGACTTTCAACGGACTACATGCTGTTTTATCCCAGAAGATCGAAATCTTCGTTCTGCATTATTTGATTTTGAGGAATACAGAAATATGGAGATGACTTCAAATTTTATAAGCCATATTCTTAAGAAAGGATATTTAAGTGTTCTTTAATATGTGTAATCACAACACAACTTAAATTTTCTGGGAATAGCGGATGGTCAGAATTTTCCTTCCGAATTTTCTGAAATATTATTTCTTACTTCAAATATATTCAAAATATACTGACCATTATTTATAAAAACTTGTGTAGGTATTGAAATCGATATTAGAGCTGCAAGGGTTTCATTACTGAAGTCTAATATACAGGGTGTTCTGTTTCAGCAGATAAGTCCTGTGACGCTGCGACCGGCGGTGCAGGAGGGTGTAGCAAGAAGCCAGCGAAATCGAAACGCGTTCGGACAATCTTCACACCGGAGCAACTCGAGCGCCTAGAAGCGGAGTTCAAGCGACAGCAATACATGGTGGGGCCAGAGAGACTGTACTTGGCCCATACACTCCAGCTCACAGAGGCTCAGGTACACCACCCTAAATATTCGCTTCAAAACAATTTCCTAAAGAATTAGATCACCTTCCTTTTTTGTGTTTGGGTTACTTAACGGACCGACTCTATGGTCTAGTGGTCAGAGTTTCTGGCTACAGGTCCCTGATTCGATTCCCGGAGCTACCAGATTTTCTGGGAAGTAGTGGGTCTGGAACGGGGTCCACTCAGCCTCGCGAGGATAATTGAGGAACTACTTAAATGGAAAAGTAGCGGCTCTGGTCTAGAAAACCGAAATTAACGGCCGTGGGAATCCGTTGCCCTGACCACGCGACACTCTCTGTCCGCAAAATTTGGCACTAACTTCGCCGACAGGCGGCGGTTGCTCGATCGGTATAGTTCGCTTGCGGACTAAAAGCCATGGATTTTGTTTAGTTTATTTTGGGTTACTTAACGACGTTTCCATCATCAGGGCGATATAATATTAAACTGGAACGACTTGGACTGGAGCGATTGTAGGCTAATAGAGGCTATGCCGACATTTACCTAGAAGGACTGAAGATAAGAACGAAATACTTCCATCAGGATAATCACTGTCCCCACCGAGATTCGAACCGAACATCTCCAGAATACAAACATAGACCAGCCTCTTCGGTTACTTCCTTTTTTGGCCGCGCCATAGCTCAAGCGGTTAGTCGCTGGCTTCCCACCGCGGCTGCCCGGGTTCGATCCCGGGGTCTGGTCAAGTGGGATTTGTGGTGGACAAAGTGCCGCTGGGGCGGGTTTTCTTCGAGTTTTTCGGTTTCCCCTGCCAATTTTCATTCCACCAAATTGTTCTTCATCATACTCACCCGGAGCAGGCACAACAGATCAATCAGTGACAGATGTGCCGAGTGGACCCAGCTGGACTCTACCCCACCCCCCACTATGTGAATTAATTAATGAACTTCCTTTCGTAGATATACAGTGTGATTCTAATTTATTGTCAGGGTTTCCGTGGCCTATAAACCGAAACTCCGACAATAATTTAGAATCACTATGTACGTATACTAACACGGAGGGTCTACAAGGAGTACCATCTTTCCTATACTGTAAGTAAAAAAGTAAAAGTATCCCTGTACCAGGCCGTGGAGGCCCATAGGGTTGTGGGACGTCGAGGCTTTCATAATTTCTCTAGGCAATCGGCTCACAGATGGGGGTGAAGTAGTCAGCCTTACGCCCCGGCCGCCCTTTACTCCCCAGGAAAATTCCTGGTACTCATTTCTGTTAGAGGCTGAGTCGACCACAGGGCCATAGTGCGGCTGGTAGGAATAGTTGCATTGAAAATATCCACCTCATCGGAACTCGAACCCGCTACCTGCCGGCTTGTAGCATAGTGCCTCAACCAACTACGCCGCGCCATAGCTCAAGCGATTAGTCGCTGGCTTCCCACCGCGGCTGCCCGGGTTCGATTCCGGGTCTGGTCAAGTGGGATTTGTGGTGGACAAAGTGGCGCTGGGGCAGGTTTTCTCCTAGTACTTTGGTTTCCCCCGCCAATCTTCATTCCACCAATTGCTCCACAATCACCCTCACCTGTCATCTGGGGCTGGTACAATAGGCCAGAAGTGGCCGCAGTACAAGGGACTTAGTCCCACCCCACTAGCATTAAAAAAATACCTTAAAATTAAAATATTCATATGGGGCACCCGGGTTTGAACCGGGGTCCTCTCGATCTGCAGTCGAATGTTATACCGCTGAGTTATACCCCCAGAGTGCGATGGTGAGGGAGTACTCTGTTAAACACCTCATTCTTTTTTTTTATTTTAGGTTAAAGTCTGGTTTCAAAACAGAAGAATCAAATGGAGGAAACAGAACTTTGAAGAGCAACAGCAAAGACTGGCTGCACTGAAACATCACCAGCAGCAACTGCTACAACACCAGCAACTGCAAGGAGAAGACATCGAGGACAGCGAACTGGAGAGCAACAGCGGAGACAGCTTTCCTGCAAGAGCCCAGCAGCCTTCTGAGTAAACCAGCTTTACTGAAGGACACAGACAAGAATAAACATTGGCGTCATATGGTTTGCCAGCAGAACGTGTAGTGTGTTCTACCTCGTAGAAACAAGGTTTCACTACGAACAGATGAAGGCCCAGCATCTCTGTCACGTCGATAATTTACGTCCTGTTCTGAAAACATCGACAACGATGAAATTTATTTGGCTACTAAGGAATATCTTGGGAGTTCTGTGACCAAACGCAGCGCAATGGGCTCGTAACCCCCCCATAACACTAAGTTTTGATTAATTTCATACTGAGATTGTGAACATGAGTTCGTTAGTGAATTCTGTTGTTAGGATATCGAACGGAGGATAAGTAGAGCATGTAGAATGGATGGAAGAGATGAGAATTTCATGGAAAATTTTAGTCCTACAACTTGAAGAATTGGGGAGACTTGCGTTCTAGCATATATGGGAGAACAGGGGAAGTCCAGCAGCCATTCAAGTACTGTTTCTCAAAGTTGTGATCTTGTCACTAGATAAAACTTATAGGCTATATATCAGTGTATATACAAAACTGTTTTATTCACCAAAAATATATCAAAAACGTAAATAAAAAGGTAATTTGAATTCAAAAGGATCAACTCATGAGAGTGTTTATTGATTTTTTCAATGTTTCCTTATGGTCCCAGATATCAACATGTGATTTATTACAATTATTTAATAATTACCACAGACCCATGGAAAAAAAAATTACGGAAATCGCATAGATACAAGAGTTATCAGCGAAAATTTCAAGTTCCACGTCTTTTATTCGGTCCGTTCTTTGTAATCGAAATACTGAGTTCAGTCCTCGGGAAATGATTGCACGTATAATGGCACTGTGTCTCCTCTTCTGCCTCTGTCGCAGTTTTCTTTTACAAATGCAGTTTCTTCTTACAACCTGCCTCTTTGTTGGCTGACTGTCTGTCTGTTCGACCGTCTTTCTATTTCTAGTTTTAACTGGTTTCTTCCCTGCGTATCCTTAAACACATTCAAGGTAATAATTTATCTTTTAGCACTGCCTCCTTTCTTGAAGTTGACCTATGCAAGCTGTCATCAGAAAGTGGTTTGTGTAAGGGGTTTGCGCGTGACTTATAGACGGGTTCTGGATTGGATGATTGGATTCGTTGGTACCTTATACTTTCCACAACTCGGGACTACAGCCAATTACAGAGTTATCGCTAATCTACAAACTTTACAGTTCACCGTTACACGCGCACTATGGTTTTCAGGCTTCACTAGTCGTATCCTGGCAACGGATCTATAACCATCTCATTGTTACTTCAAATCATACATGAAGTCTTCTTGTCACAGTCTTGTCTAGCTCAGAATACGGACCCGTGATATATTTAAGTAAATACAGTTGCAGACAAATATCACTGAACAGTTAAAACGTTCTATAGCCTAAAGGACTGTAACTTCAAGTCATTATTATTATTATTATTATTATTATTATATTTTATTCATTTATGTTATGCACGTCTGGTTAATCTTTCTTCTTAGGTTATAATTTTGTCTGCTTTTAGTGGGCGTGAAAATTTGTCTGTTATCTGTATGAAAGACCACAGATTGGCTGTATACGACAGTATAATGCTATAGACAATATCTGGACCCAGAGAGTGGATGTAACATGAGGCTGAGGAAATTGCATATGAGGAGCTTAATAATTTTTACTGTGCATAAGGAATTAGCCCAGTTAAATTGAATAAATAAATGAGGATTAACCGGGCAGAGTATATAGCACGAATGAAAGAAGTAAGAAATGCATACGAAATATTAGTTTAAAAGTATAGGGAAAATATAACTTGGCAGACATTCATTTATATATATATATATATGAGAGGATAATATTAAAATGGACCTTAAACAAATGGGATGTGATAATGTGAACTGGATTTATCCGGTTCAGAATTTGGTCCATTGGTGGGTTCTTGTGAACACTGGTAACAAACTGCCTGGTTCTATGAAAGGCATGGAATTTCTTGAATAAAAAAGGGAATATTACTTTCGCCTGAACTACGCTGATCCATACAGTTTGTTTTCCTTCAATTTATAATGGGTTTGCTTTTCCATAACGGCACGCGGTAGCGTAGTTGGTTGAGGCACTATGCTACAAGCCGGAAGGTCGCGGGTTCGATTCCCGATCAGCTCACTAGATTTTTCAATCGACCTAATCCTTCCAGCTGCACTAAGGCCCTGGGATCGACTAGCCTCTAACAGTACTAGGAATCTTCCTGGGGGTAAAGGGTGGCCGGTGCGTAAGACTGACAATCTTACCGCCATTTGTGAACCAGTTGTCTAGAAAATGTGGGAGCCTCGACATCTCATAACCCTATGGACTTCCACTACCTGTTACAGGGATAGCTTTACTTTTCAATTGCAATTATGCTCCTTAATTCAGAAAATAAATATGCCTTGTTATGTGAATTACATATCCTGTTTTAGATATCAGTTCGATAATAGCGATATTATCTGTAGAAAACAAACTTATACATATCTTGCAATGTTATACCTGCCTGGAATTGTGTGTGGCCAGAATCTGATTTAAGAAAGAACTGAATTGAATGCAAACGCCCAAAGAGCTTTAGTAGAGATGTTACAAAATACAAACACATGCCCGACACAACATACACATTACCGTCAATATTATTCTCGCAAAGTGACTTCACTGGAAGATGAAGTGATATGCGAAGACAGTGCAAGAGTAAATAATGGTAACATAGCAAAGACGCAACGTAGAAATTGCAGATTTATATCAGGAGTGTCCATCAAGAGACAACCCTGATATGTACTGAGAAGAATGAAGTGGGTCCCCAAATGCGACTCCAATGTAATTACATCTTTGTTACACGATGCAGTTAATACTGTAAACTATTAATCTGACTGGAACAGTGGTGATGGACACATCCGCTGGAGAATATGTCTACTGGCAGTAAATATTCTAATGTTATGTACTTGTATAAATATAAATAAATAAGAATAGTAATCCCTAATGTTGTGGTTGAGATTTTTATTTACATTTCAGTAAAAATAAAAACAAATAAATATTGTGACGTGTCGCGCTAGCTGGACGCCCCCCCCCCCGGAGTTGACGCGCCGAGCGGAGCCGAAGTGANTTATAGGACATTTGATCTGAAGTATCACATATTTCCTTAAAAATTTAAAAAATTCTGAAATACAAAATTACTGAGTCTTTGGACTTTTTCCATCGTCCGGAATTCTAGGTAATAGAAGACACGACGTTTCGGAAACTGGATCTGTTTCCGTCTTCAGGTGAGGAAGGAAGACACCTAATCAGTTGTGTCTCTTAGAAAGAGATAGGTGTCTTCCTTCATCACCTGAAGACGGAAACAGATACAGTTTCCGAAACGTCGTGTCTTCAATTACCTAGAATTCCTAACGATGGAAATAGTTCAAAACCCAGTAATTCTGTGTGTCATCCACCATCGTCAGAAGCACTTACAATCTAATTCTAAAATACACGTAATTTTATATTTTAAACTTGGTACATTAGAACGAAAATTTCACTCAGAAACGATAGAAGACTTACTAGCATAATGACAATGAGAGAGGGATTAACAGAGAAGCAATATTGATATAAATATGGACAGACATGGCTAATTTAACGCTTTACACATTTTCATAATATACTGTACATATCATGCAGCCACATTTTGTCTCCTTACATTTCACACACAAAAATGAAGAAAATTAACAAAGTTATGATTTTCAGAGTTCTGTACCCGTATATAATATCAGGATTCTATATTAAAAGGACAGACTGCCGTTCCAACCTCACAAATTTCTTTGTCCCTCATGTGCTTATCTCTGTCTGCGGAAAATTAAAAAGTATGATTTTGGTGTAGTCTCTAATGGCACAGAGCCCTCCGTAAGAAATTTCATAAATATCCGTCCAGCAGTTTCCAAGTTGAAACTTACACAGACTGACCGATAGACACAAGCAGTCCCGTACTGATTCATTTCCCAAACATTTTGAGAAGAACGCAAAATGGCGTAAGCAAAGAAGTCACAAATTAGAGAAAAATGAACAACACTTTTTATTAATAGTGTTTTTATTACTGTTATTGTCATTTCAGAATAAGAGTAGGTTTGTGACTCACATTTCAATTCGACTGCGAGACTCGAGTTCACCCATGAAGAATGAAGGAAAGGAAACTGCTCACTCAGGGATGGCATTAAATTGGTAAGATTCCAGTTATGACGTCTGTCTGGCGCCTATATGTATTCCGTACAATTTAATTCAACTATAAACAACCGAGATGGTTGAAGAAGACTGAATAACGCTTTCGATGGTTAACACTTAACGTGCATTATTATATATTCAAACATCTTTATGCTTATATTTTAGTTCTTAAGCTATTTAATTTGTGAATTCTATGCATCGACCGTTTGACTTTATTAAGGACCCTCTTCTCATGCAAAACGCACTGAAAATACGCCGAAAAATGCATGAAGGTTCTTAATTAATGCCAGTCTCAGAACGGATGCAAGCAAATGAAAGTTTCGCGTAAGTGAATATGATACGTGTAGGTGTTTTATAATAGTATAAATATAAATGCAATATTTGAAACCTCATCATCTGAAAAGAAAATCAAATGATAAAAGTAAATTAATTTAGGCCCCAAAGAAAAATTACCCATAAAATCGATATAAAGTGAATTAAACTTTGTTATTTTAACGCTGGAAACTTCTTCTGTAACATCTGAAGTTTTGTTATGCCCTGAGCAGAGAGCCTTACTTTTAAAACAAAATAATGAGACTCTTCAAAACAAAAGTAATGTATTGATGTATTTACATATAAAAGTTAAGTTAAAGTTGTCTCTGTGCTTAATTAATTCAACACAACGCCATGAAGGCCAATGGGGGAGTGGATGTATAGATATATATTTCCTTGACCTCGGCACTAGTTGAACGCTAGTGGTCAGCTTCACGCCCCGGCCGCTTTACTTCAGGGGACAGAACCTCCGGTACCCATTGGATATGAGACTGGATGAACCCAAGAACCGGTTGCAAATTTGGAAAACAGGGATGAGGATGATGCTGAAACAGAGAGTGAAGATAGTGAATGTGATTATCTGTAACAGTGTATTGTAATTTTTTAATATAATAGTGAAATGTTTTAAAAGATCTATGAAGATGTCAGCGAGTACGTTATGCCAGAGCACTTGCGATTATTGACCGATAAGTAGGGACCCTACGTGTTGTACTTGGCTGTTCTGACAAATTGCTCAGTCAGTCGGTCGGTCGGTCCTATATTTCACGAACATATTCTGTCTGCATTGAGTGCTAGTAATTCTAATCCATAAATGTAATTGTGTTGATAAGAGACTATTAATAAGCTTAGGCAATTATATCATCATATTAATAGATGAATTATTTAAATAATTTCAAAGATACAAGAATATTTCATGAGCAAATATTTAGATTGTTAAAAATTTCATGTTTTACGCATTCCGAAATTTCATAATCATGTCCACAAAAGCGCGACATTGTGCCGTATTCTGACCTAGTTAAATAAATTTAACATGAAGCAGTAAATTACTTATCCAAAACGCATATTGCACTTACAGTAAACCCTCGCTAATCGGTTTACAATCAATTCGGATCGAAGAATGAAAAATGAAAAATGTTGTTTGCAGTTAAGTTTGTCCCACTGCTTAACTAATTAAGCACTGCGCCATGAAGGTGTATGGGGAAGTGGATGCATAGATCCAAATTTTCTTGACCTCGTCACTAGTTGGAGGTGAGTGGTCAGCTTCACGCCCCGGCCGCTTTACCCCCCGGGGGAAAGACCACCGGTACCCATTGGATAGGAGGTTGTGTGGGGCCCATTTATAGTTCAGTACATACTTTAAAAGACACGTGGCATTTAGGAAGGCAGATGAATCACTTGACTGTTGGGGCAAAACAGTTTCTTCAAACTGCTTTATTACTTTCGAAAACAAGTACAACTTCTG